ATGTCAAAATTATCTCATGGGTCATGGCAAATTTTAGTAATTCTTGATGGGAAGTTTAGTTTCTTAATTACCTTTCTTATAACATGTCAAAACTTACATGTAAGCTCCTCCCAATTCAAGTACAATTAATTAACCCCTCCATTGTACTATCTAGCTTCACTAAGAAACACCATAAGCTTGTTCATTAGTCTTAAGTCAACCATTTGAGCTGTTGGCAGATGCTCTAATCCGTGTACTTTGTTTCCTTATACTAGATCAATGATGGCGCGCGTTGCCGCGCCCGTCTATTTCTACAATTGAATGGTAGGAATTTATGTAAGTTCATTTGGACACGTAGATATATGATGAAACAAAACATTCAAATTAAAATAATCCTTATATTGGTCAATCACAAGTTATTGGCATACATCAAAGCACTTGTTGCCATGATTGTGTCTTGTTGAAAGAATGATAGAATTAGGTGCAAATATGAGAATTTGGACAGTCCAAATATTTAACAAAATATGAATACGTAGTTACAACTATAGTTGGGTCACCTTGCAAGAAAAAGACTATTGGGTGTAGAATGCAAGGCATAATGTGTTCCGGTATATTATAGGTAATGAGTATAAAAATATGAAAATTTGGGCATCGATAAAAATAGTAGAAGATCACAATCACAACATTATAATTACTATGAGGGATATTAAGCATATGAAGATTTATCTCCTGGTTCCAGCATTGGAAGGAAATTTTTAATTCTGCCGAGTCAAGGGCGATGAAATACTTCAAAAGATATAGTGAAAACCGTACGTCATTCTTCCCGATATCAACTCGCTAGGAGGAACTAACAAACAAAAAGTTTTATGTATCTTGCTTCCCTTGAATCTTTTGTAGTCTACCAACAAATCATCTTCAATCCCAGATAATGCATTAGTTAGTCCAGTGGATTTAACCTGCACACAATGCCATTCATTCTCAACATAGATTGCTCAACTTTGGAGGATATTTCTGCACCAAAATTAGCACCAAACTCAACAAAACCGGGTGTGTGTATACTAATAGACAACACTGATTTTAATGAATGGGCACAACTGGTCGATGCTCACACAAATTCTTCTTTTACGGTTCATGGGAACAGAATATGCAAAAAAACACAAAAGAAACTTTCCTTTTGTTAATGTGTTTGCTCGTGAGAAGAAAGGTTCAGATATGTGTACTATGAGATCAGTAATTATACAGTTAAGATTTACGAAGTCAAAAAAGTTATGAAGCCAAAATCTGAGAACATATGAGATTGCAGGTTTTCGTAGAGATAAGCAAAGTTCATTACAAATAGTGCAAACTGTGGTTATCAAATAATGCTCAACCATCTCTCTTTCGCTTGAATGATATAGAATATACATACTTAACACGCTCCATCGATTGCAACCATCAATAACAATACTTTCTGATCCATGGAATATGGTCAAAGCGTGTTAATTAAGGAACATGTGTTAGAAAGAACAAGGAATATGGTAACACATGGCAGAATAAAATGTTGATGGAGCGCCCAACCCTTGGAGCCAGGAGTGTGGTTTAGGCATCAGTCTCCTTGATGTTGCCGCTTGAGGTGAAGCCACTGCCCATCTCACAGGAATAACCGCTTTCGCTAGGAGCCTTTATGTTGCCGCTTCTCCTCGGCAAAGTGCAGCATGATACAATATGTGATCATTTTTGGAAGAAACCCTACAACGTAGGAGATTTGGCAGCACAAGCACAGAATAGCGAAAAAAATTAGTTTGTTTGTTTGGCAGGAAAAGTGAAGATAGTTATTGTAGCTTATCGAGTTTATTTATTCTCTGCGGGAACTCGTCGACGAACGCTCCCTTCCATAGAGGCCTTGAGCTGCAGGCACACAGCAGGGCATGCATTCGGTTCAATGTTCAGCAATCAATGAGCATACATCGTGAGCTAGCTTGTAATTGTGGTTACCTGAAAGCATGACTGGCTGGTCCGAAGCCCGGAAGCAGCGGAGACACGGCGTGAAAGAAAATATTTACTTCTCTTTATACTTCCAAAAAAATAAAATAGATGTATTACAAAAATTACTCTACATAAAACATTTGAAAAATGTTGAATGTGTATAGAGAAAATGTTTATCACATTTACCAAAAATGTATTGAAAAAAGTGTCTATGAAACAAGTTGATCATGTATTTTTAAAAAAATTAATCAAGCATTTGAAAAAATGTTGAACAAGTGTCTGAAAAATATTAAGGAAGCATTTAGAAAATGTTTAATGTGTATAGAAAAATGTTGACCATGTATTAAAATGATGGATTTATTTTTTTACCATGTATATATAAATGTTAATCAACATTTCAAAAAAATGTTGAACAAGTATTTGAAAAATATTAAATGTGTACAGAAAAATATTGGCTATGTGTTAAAAAGTTGATGATTTTTTATCATGTATATAGAAATGTTAACCAACAATTTGAAAAAATGTTCAACAAGTATTTAAAATTTTTTAATGTTTATAAAAAAAGTTTACTTTGTATTAAAAATGATGAATTTTTTTGATTATGTATATCAAAATGTAAATAAGGCATTTGAAAAAAAAACTTGAATAAGTATTTGAAAATTGTTAATCAACCATTTGATAAATGTTAAATGTGTTTAGAAAAAATGTTGACCGTGTGTTAAAAAATGTTATATTGCATTTAGAAAATGTTAATCAAGCATTTGGAAAATGTTAAATGTGCATAGAAAAAATGTTGACCCTGTATTATAAAATTTTAATCCTGCATTCGAAAATGTTAATCAAGCCCATAGAGATAGAACTGTGAAAAATAGAAAAGCCCAACGCATGTCTATTAGCCAGAATCAGTTTGGCACCACACACACAGAAGATATGATTCAACGGGCCGCACTTCTAGGGGATCATCCCCGGCCCAAGTGCGTTCATCGATCAAGGTTTCCCATCTTTTTGGATGGGCGACTCAAGACGCTTTCGTTAACATTGACACCATATTATAGGGAAACATCTTTGAGCTTGACAAAAAAAAATTAGTTTTTCACATTGACGCCCTATTTACCATTGCTACTTGAAAACTGGTTTCTGTTTCATCTTCCTCGCAAGAATATTCCCTTTTTTTAACCTTGACGGCTGTATCATTATGTAGTAAAGTTATTTGAGGTATTGTCACTATGATGAGAACACAAGTTCTTGCTACATGAACCTTTTTATTTTGGGCATGGAAGTTAGAAATCTTACATCCTCCACTCGCATGTCATATTTGCAGTGAGAAAAATTGTTAAGTTGGCCCACCCTGTTTCAAAAACCTGGATCCGCCACTGGTGCGGATATCCAAAACTTGGTGCACACAGAGTAGTTCTGAATCAGGTGTGGTTGATTTCCCTGTTGATCAAGTAGATCCCCTATCACAGTATAACATGTAGATTAAGCTAGTTTCATGTTATATTAGTTGTTGTTGCATGTACCGTCACTCGACTACAAAGTAAGAGCAAGAGTAATCCATCGAGATAGGAGTACAAGGAGAGAGAAGACAGTTGCTCCATTTGTTACACGATTATTATTATTATTAATGAAAAGAGTACATGAGCCAAGGTTGCACAAAATTATGTCCAGTTTTTGGTCTTGATGAAATCTAGAGGAGTAAAATTAACACATCTTCAGATGTTGCTCTCTCATTTCTCTCTTCATCAACCGCTCCTACACCACTCCTACACCACTGAGGGTACCAACCTCATCGCAACTCTCAATTCTAGTACTATGAGTATAGTCTTCCGCAAATGGAAGGCATACTATTGCAAGTGGGCAAAGACATTGTTGGTTGCTTTCAGCTTATTTTCGCCTCACCTCCTTGACTCTTGCATTTTTGTTTTCCTCCAATATTTTATCTGGACTGAAGGTAAACACGATAAAATAAATCTGAATTCATGTCACACGCACTTTGACATCCGTGGGCATGGGTATATATAAGACTTCTACTCATCTCTAGTCTTTGTTACTGCTCTTTTTAGGAGGGCAAAATGATAATTTGTGTGACCATGGTATATGTGTTGAATGAGCCATTCAAGAAGCAAAATGCTGTGACCATTCTACATGCATGTTATTGTTTGGTTTCCAATCTCTTGCCGGAAACAAAAATCATGTTTGGTTGGAGCGAACTCACATCAAAGGAATGGAGAGAAGTTCCTGAATGTCATGTTTGTTTGGTATATGATCGAATATTGCATCTGTAAACAGGTTAATCATGAATGATCCAGAGTAACCAACTTCATGTAGAACTTAATATGCATGTTATGTTAGCTTCGGTCATACTTACTATCACATGACTGAGAAGTAAAATTAGAGAGTTGTCCATGTCCATTGTTTGCATCATGAAAGAGGAATAAAATGGTAATCGACTGATTTATGAAGTTTTCGCTCCCTTTCAAGATCAGCATATCATAGCAAGGAAATCTAGAAGAAAACATTGGAGAAAGTGAGGCACAAAATGGGGACGTTTAACAGCAAATGGTAATGCACATCAGTTCCAAATAAAATGGTCGTTTTCTTCTTCTTTCCGTTCTTCTGTGTTTTCTTCTCTTGCAACCAACGTCGAAGGGGTGGCAGGTATTCCATATGTTACACATGAGCCTGGGCTGCAAAAATCCACATTCTTACAATTCTGAATAAAGCTATATCTTCTGTAAAGAATGTCACAGCCCATTTGTCAACTTAATACCCATTTGGAGCAATTTAATTCAACAATATGTTTCCATGCATTTCACAGGAAACAATCCAGGTAAAAATCTCCGGGTATTCATCGCCATTACTGTACAATATTAATCAGATCAACACCAGAATGTCTCAGAATTTCTTTTTTTGCAACACACCCTACTAATTGACCTTAAAGAATACAGGGACCAATAAAATAAACTCTGACTACTTTTTGCTGACTCAGCAGGAAAATGGTGTTCTTTTCTGAAGAAGCCGAAACTGCTAAAAAAACTGATCCAAAGGCGTGTCTATCAATCTGTTGACACGCGAGCAAGTAAGCCAGTGGGTGTTTGAACCGTCTTTATGTGACCAGACCCAATCAGATCGCGGAGGTGGAACCGCACGTCGAGAGGTGATAACCTCAACCTCGTCTTCTCCAGTGAAGATAGTAGCATCTCCTTGTACTTCCGACGGTTCAGTAATGAAAGAACTTCCTTCCTCCCCTGCTCACCATAACCACATTTGTCAATGTCTTCTTACAGAGAAATCGAAACTGTAAGTATTTAATTAGTATCCCATCTAGAATGACTCAGGAAAGCCAATGCAAGAGGAATCAAACTACCATAACCTGATTAGCGCATTCATGAAATACATCGTTCATGGTTCTAAAGTATATACATGGATTGAAGTTTTGAACTGTAAATATGTGATAATATGTGTTAAATGGATGTAGGCATAAACTTCCATAAATATGTGATGTCAGCTAGAAAACCACTTCTGTACCTATTTGCACAACCTATGCAAGTTTGTGGGCACAAAAGTCCAATTTTCAAGTACATGACTTCATGGACCTGCATGTACTTATGTTCTGACTATACTTCAGTCAGCAGAGCAGCTTTATATTTCATAAAATTTATTAGAACCATCTTTAAGATTAACTAACACCGCGAGATTTGAACCAATGAATAGAAAAGCCAAGAAGTGCAAACCTGGGATAGGCCTTTCAAGATAGGACCAATACTTGGAATAGAAAACCAGTACATGTTTGGATCTATTAGTTGGCGTGTCTGCGAAAGATCAACATGGCACAAACAGTAAGCATGATTGGTTAAGAGCATAAACTCATCCTGTAGATGAAAACCATTAGTTTTTTGGTAAACATGAAACCATTCATACTGGAGCCATGGCATGTGAATACAGAAACACCCATGATAACGATCCCATGGAAAATACTTACCAGGAGACCAGCATTCATCAATAAGGTGATATGTTTATCTCTTGCATCACCACCATGTGATAACAGTGAGCACTGTGATGAAAAGCAGACGTGAAAAGCCTTGTTAGAGTAGTACTATTTCGTGATATAGTACTAGGTATTATTACAAAATAGTATACTAAAACAAAGTGTCAGCTCAAAGTGCCATGATAGATCATCGCAAAGTTTCACAAAGTTAAAACTTGGTAATGAACGATTCTACGGAAAGGTTAAGATAGAATTCTGCAGGATCAACACTCATCTCCAGTTAACTTGCTGAAACTTACCAGCTCTAGGTGATCAATGCTAACATCCAATTTCGAACGCAGAACATATTTCTCAAACCAATCAAACACTTCACTACCATCTTTGTTTTACCCGTTAACCTCTTGACAGCAGATTCCATCTGCATACACTAAGTGTAAGAAAGGAACAGATCCATTAAAGCTTGTAGTACGAATTATCACACTATAACTAAAATTTTATATCAACAAGACATTAGCTACATATTGGTGTGTCTATGATGGTAAATTTTCAGTTCATTTAGCATGAGCTTGGTTTGTTAAACAAGGTAAATGGGATAGAGCTATCCAGCTTGGTAAGGATAGGCTTGAATGAGGTGATCCAGGTTGTCTGCTTGGTTGGGTGAGAGTATTACAAAAGATTAATTAGCTAAACAACACCTCTTAACTTCCATTACATTAACACCATCTAGACCTAGTGAAACTACTTAAGTCAACCAAGAAAAACATATACCTATTTAAGATAATCATCCATGAACATGATTGCATGGTCATCCTGCCCAGTATTGAGTTTGAATACACGGAGTACTTTGTCTTTCTTCAGTGACTGCAAAAAGTATTTCTATGTTCAGGTTTCACCGGAGCAAGGAAAAATTATCTCTGATGCAATTGGATATTAATATACATTAGTCTACGATAATCACCAAAATTTAACACGATAATCGCTAGAAAAGAATCCAAAGGTAAAACAAAAACTTATCATTGCATTACAAAAGTGGTGTCCACATAAAGAACTATTGCATGAGTTCAAAACAAAACCTCCAAATCTCTATCAACTTGTGTCCTGTCCTTCATGCTGCTATACAATTGGGACTGTAAAATGAAAGGTTGTGTTACAACCTACAAGTGAAAACAAAAGAATTTGAACCCTGGTGGACTGGGGATACCACAGTCCCTCTAACCATCCAACCACAGGTTGATTCGCATGGAAGGCATACACTTAGGGGGTAACACACCTGGTAATATTGGACATCGCGCTACAGTTCTGAAATACAATCCTGGGAAAACCTCTCAAAAGCGTTTTTTGCGCCGCAACTTTGTGCTCCTCGTCGATGGCCAAGGTGCGGAAGATCTTGACCGATGAACATGTTGACAATGAAAGCACGGGTGATAATGACATTGAACAACATGTGTAGCTTCAGATTGCGACGGCAATGAGTCATCGGCGATGGCGCGGACATAGGCTCCTGCTGCACAAAGTGAGCGGCGGGGCAAATGTACTTGTACCAGTGAAGAGCAAGATGGCAGGAGGGCCAATTGCGTGGGAGAAGATACATGTATTTGGTTTCCTCCAATATTTCAGATGGACTCAAGATGGATAGGCATGGGGAGCAAATCTGAATTCATATCACACTCACATTGACACCCAAGACGATGGAGTATATATTGGGGTTCTATGCATCTCTTGTCTTTGACAAGTCATTCAAGAAACGTTCATTTGATCATGTGTCTAGATTACAAAATCATGTGATCATCTTACTTGCATGTTCAGCTTAGTCTCCAACACTAGAAATAGCAAAAGAGTCCGTGTGTTGCAACCGGGGAAAAAAATACCACAGTTTCCTAACACAATAAACATGACTAAAAACCCAACAGGTCTACGTGCATCCCATCTGTGTTGCCGTTTATCCTCTTTCCTTCCTCTTCGACGGTGGCCTCCATGCTCACACAATCATAACGCGTTTGACTGTAGTCAACTGTAAGGTGTCTCTCTCTCATATAAGATGAGAAATGTGCTTTCTTTTTTCATTCGAAAGTTTGCTCAGGCGTCCATGTATGGTTATAGATGATTTTTTCGTCTCCAAATAGATTTTGCTGAGGTGTTGATTTTTAATCCGGTTCTACACCAGTACAAAATAAAGATGGATCATGCGCTATGATTAAGATTGCACCATATATAATTGTATAAAATTATTTAACAAGTAAAACAAAATCATAGTCAGATTTTACACATTTTTCTAATCAATTTCATATATAACATGTTAAAATTGGAGTTAGGATTTAAAAGATATGGATGATTTTTTAAGTCTTGGTACTCACTTAAAGTAGAACCACGGGTTGATTAACCAAAAGAACATGGGGCGTTCTGAAAAATAGTGAACAATTTATTTCTCACTAAAATAGGAGCGTAGGTTGATTTCCAAAAACAGCAGGGTTTTTGCAAATATCGCGACGGATGGGCGGAAGCACCAATCCTTGTATTAGTAGGTATAGAAATATACTATGGTAACGATGAGTTTAACCGGACTCTGCTGCATTTATCCCACTACAATTGTGAAAAAACAATCATATGAGAACTGGTATATTTCTTCATCAACACATTCTAGAAACATTGTATGGCAACATACATCTCAAATCATCTATGTCCTCCTGTCAAAAACATTTTGCATGCCACGTCTTTGTGCTCCTCGTCAATGGCCAAGTTGTGAAAGGTCATGACCGTGGCCTAGTCGACAGCCAAAGCACATGTGTTCGATGGCAGTGAATAACGGTTGTAGCTTTGGAGTATGACACTATTAACTCAGTCGTTCGATGGAGCAAACACGGGCTCCCGATTCACAAAGAGAGTGGTGGGGTGAATGGGCTCGCACCACCAAAGAGCAAGATCGCCGAAGGGGTTAGGTGGAAGAAAAGACACATGTATTTGTTTTCCTCCAATATTTTAGATGGACTTAACATGGGTAGGGAGGGAGCAAATCTGGAAACAATTACCTTTGTTAAGCATCTATGACCTATTATGTTTCCAATAATGGATCAAACTTGATGTTGAGCTTTGAAATTTTTCATAGGGAAGGTTTGGGTGGGTTGATATAATAATTTTGCTGAGATGATATTACTACACTTGTTTTTATCTCATGGTTTCTAGTTGCTACTGTCAGCTAGATGTGATATTCAATTTTTACCAAGGCATTTGTGTCGACTTTTTTTGCTTGGCAAGTATAATGTTTGCCAAGTCAAACATCATATATTGACATGCTCCCTGGGCAATAAAAAGTTTTGTATGCATGCTGCCAGCATGTTATGCTTTGCCTCTGGTACCCTGTTGCTTTGCCTTTGGTTGTTGGAAGCCTCGCCTTCTTTTCTAGTTCTTGTGTGAGCAGTACCTTCTTCGACATGCCCTAATATTATTTGCCATTTTACTTATATGTTCTCTAAGTACAAGAGTTGTGCTTCGACCAAGGATGCACTAGTTATATTTTAGCCTCTGATGCTGCTGCCATAGTGTGGATTTGTTGTGCATGCTAAATCAAAGTTCTACTTATAAGTTCTTTTTTCCCATGGCGTTGAGAGTAGTATGGAATTTGTTTATTCAGACAGCAATTTGCTGGAATCAGGATTTTTGCCTTTTTAGGTAAAGCCTGTGGGCTAGTTTGGTCCTTGTTTAGAAATTTGTCCTGCGAGCTATATTGTTCTTTTCCCTTAATTTCTAGCTGGTGTAGTGTTGCATGTCTTGGATATTTTTACACGAGTTGTACCAAATACCAGAGCATTGAATTCCTTACATGTGACCAAATATGAGAGCATGTCTTAGACATTTTATTGACCTCTATAGATGTCGGCCTCTATATATGTTCCCAACAAAACAAGCTATATATGTTCCAGAGCTTGCTGTCGCATGAAAAAAAAAACAAGTGTGTGTGTGTGAAAGCAACTGTCTGTAGGTTCTTGGCTATGATTCATTATTACAGATTTTGTTTTTACTAATGGTTCACACACATGAAATATGTGTCTGGTGCTTATTTCAGTTGTATCCTGCATGTATAATGGGACTGATGAGTGTCGCTTTTGGACATTGATGTAACTAAAACAAACATCAACACCCACTCAGCCCCATTCAACATGTGCAAGCAACCGTTTGTAGGTTCTTATCTTCCCTACCAATATCATGAATTGGCCAGTGTTTGTGCGGTTTCTTTTGGACTAGGCGCTCTCCTTCTTGTAGTAAACAACAAGTGTGGCTGGCTTTGGGAGTGAAGATAGAACTCTCATTGTTTTCTTTACTGTGACATAGGGAAGTTTTGGATGGGCTGATATAATAAACTTGTTTTCTCTCTCTTTGCCCAGGTAGGAGCTTGGACCTGCAGAAACATGGAAGTTTGATGTATGGCTTCTTGTTTTGTTACCTTGGATCATTTTGTGTTCAAGAAAGTGCTGCTGGCTGGTTCTTCTTAGCTTGTGGTGTTACTGAAGGACGAACATTGTGGTCGTGAAGCCTGAGACCATGATGATGGATGGAGCCATTGGTTGATCAGTTAGTTCTTTTCAGAATTGTGAATAATAGCCGACAAATGATAGCTTGCTTGGTGTGTTGTCGAACATGTTTCCTTGGTAGGATGGAAGCATTGGAGTAGTAAGTAGTGATCTTTATTAAACCATTGCTCTAATTCAGGCCGTTGTCTTCTGTATTGGTCATACCATTTGTGTTGGTCATGAAGTTGATGCAGGCTTTAGAAGCGCACTAATCCATATAGTTGCATATCTCATTCTCAAAGTGTATTGATTTCCTGATGTAGGTGCGCCGAGGAGACAATCACCCGGGAGTGCGCCAGTGTGAGGCCTACTTCAACTAAAAAAGGCGCCTAATGGTGAGTCCCCTTCCGTCTCACTCGCCCTCCTCCATGTTGTGCGTTTTCAGTCTTCTCTATTCCAGAATCATTCCTCTACTGTTTGAGATATATATTTAGTTGACAGTTTCCA